CTGTGTAGCCTACCCTAATTCCACTAATTGAAATTTGACCTGTTCTATCAATTGTGCTTGGTAATTTTTGTCATTCGATACCACTTCCACGAGTTTGATACTGTGGTGTGTATTTCTCCGTGAATAAATATACAATTTATTTTGTGTCTATGATACTTAATGCGTCAAACATCGCTCATTATATTAATTCTTTTCGGAGAATATGAATAATAATTTTGAACAAATGATTTGTTACGAGTTAAAAAAAAGGAGGTTTAACGAAGGAACTCTTATTAAGGCAAAGTAAGGATAGAGAAAGATTTATCTAGGCAAATAAACACGGCGATTGAGTATTAAAAAAATGGAAGAATGTATTTTATACTAATATATCGAAATTTGATATTTTTTGCTCATACTTTAACACGTTGAATGTAATGGGGGCCACTGGTGACTCCTAACCAAGTCGAATTACTATAGTTCATTCAATTAAACCACGATTATTTGAAAACACTTCTATACTATAAATAATGCTACCTAATGCGGTGACATTCAGCTAGGTAAATGTGCAATAGTAATAATGCAATTTAATCAAATGAGTTAATATTATATTTTTTTTATGTTGTATATTTTGCTCTATGAAATCATATGGCATTTAACGTATTAAAGGTTATATCCGTTGACAATTCACAGAACGATTACAAACAGTATACTCTTGTTAAACGAGAGGAAAGTATTAATATGTATATACGTATAGGGGATGCTTCGTAGGCGGAAAAATCGATGGAAGATGAGGGGGTACTGTGATGAAAAGAATATTTAGGAATCCGTCAAAAGAATGCTTTTCCATCCATACAATGAACTTCCACTGGTAACTTTATGTCTCAAGAAAACAGTAATCCCAAACATTCATCTTGACTATGTGGTAAACATTTAAAGAACCTAGAACAATAGAGATTATCAAAGAGAATAGCCTGTCCTCCTCGATTGCCTGATCTCTCGCCACTCGAGCATTTTCACGAAAAATTACTCAAGAAAGTGAAAAGAATAGATTTCCGGACGAAATTTCTAAACGTGCGAAACAGTGTTTTAGAAAATTTAATGCATTCGCATATCAATAAACTACTACAAATTTGCACTTCAGTGATCAAGGTTTCAGATGGTCATGTAGACGAAAATATAATATAAATTTTAAATTAAATATTATGCGTAACCTTATTTTGCATTTGTCTGTTGTTTTATCACATCGTACAGTAAGAAATAACAAAAAGAAATACAGTAGACGTAAGCAAGCTAAATGTAATTTTTAACGACGTATAATATATTGGAAGAAAGCAGTTATTCCCATACTTACATAGCTATGTACAGTGTATGCGCGCGCGCAGGGTACGCCATTACACCTGTCCCTGAGCTTCGATTGAATATGCCCTGCCAACGAACTGTCGCTATCGACACACCGAGAAACGAGGGAGAAATAAACGAGTTTTATGACGACCCGCCCATCTACACACCGACAAATGTACATCAATACCGATACGATCGGATAAACGCCTCACCCGTCACCGGGATATCGTTTCCAAGTCCCGCCGCGCCAGAAACGAATCTTTCGTAATTGGATTTACATGACGCGAATTACGATAACAAAATCTTTGGGAGCCGCCTCGACGCCGAGCAGATCCGCTCCAGATGTTGCCCCACGGTTGTCACAATGACGTTATCGACTTTCGACCCATACTCCGACTACCGAGGGGAAGTTTTCTTTCGCCGGATAATTTGATGGCCCACTGAAGCGCCAAGCTTTGGATCTGCGAAAGAGATCTCGATGGTTACTGTTTTGTCGGAATTCAGGTGTAGATGGATGAACTTAGATTGGAAGGATTACTGTATACTGCTTTTTATGAATACTTTCGATTACTTCTATTTAGTATTGTATCACATTAAGTGTAGTTTATAGATTATTAAACACTTAAGAAGACGTATAATAGTGACGACAGGTGTGGTATCAGATTGACTATAGTTCATCTTCGACTAATGAACACCTATCTAGACAGCATAGCATTCGTGGCATGTATTGATTTCATGAGGCCTGGTACTAACAGAGTACATAGATCTGTTAGATTCTGGTTTAAATGTCTTGGCAGTCGATAAAGGCATCGTTAAATTAGTTTCGACTCTTAAAATCGTTTTCTAGTCGTTCTTTTTAAGTTGAAAATAACAAAGATATTTGTGTCTTCCCGTTTATAATAAATCTTTTCAAACATTTCGTAGCTCTGATATTAAACTCCTCAAAACTTGCAACAACTTCATCAAACACACCCAGAATTATAGAGACCCCCCTTTGAGACCATTTGAGTTTCTAGAGACCCATGGACTTCAAACTTATGGAGACTTCATCTATTATAGGGACTCTATTCTAAGCCTTAGAGACTCGTGAAACTCGTGTCTAAGGCTATTTTATCCAATAGACATTTTAGGTATAACGCTTAAAATGTAAATCCTCCAGAACATTGTAGGACCTATAAGGTCCTTCAAAAAGCACTTGTAATAGTAACGGAACACAAAAAGTAGCGTCAAAGTATCTATATCTTATGATTATATTAATGAAACTCTAGTGGCATTTCTACAAACAAAATTCTAAAGAACCTGTAAAGTTGAGGTCGAAATCTGGATCGTAATTCTGTACGAATGTCTTAGATATTAAAGAGTTTAGAACTCTACGTGACTCTGAAACCCTAACCTCAAGAAACCCTTGGTAGTCTCTAATCTTTTGAATTTCTTTTGATCGCCAGTTCAGGTAAACCAAATAAGACATAAATATAATTTTTCAGATTATGTGTTTAATTATATTCAGTAAATTCATAGGAACTGGAATATCTTCGGATCACTCTGGATCAACATCGTCAATCTTAAATGAATTTGAAGAAGTATAGATTCCGAAAAATCTTAAGTGATAATACGTTCGCTACCAGTGTAACATATTTGTGACGATCAGGAACTTGTATTTTGTTTAAAGAAAAGTCAATTAATCTTTCTATCTAAAGTTGTAACGTATGGTATTATATGTAAAACAAGAATAAGATTTTTTTCTTGAATTTTATATATATTTTCGTAAAAACGATACGTTGCATTTAATTAAGTATTGTATCTGTGAGTACTGCTAAGAAAAAACTTGTAAGAGTCAAGATGTACTTAAGAGAAACAATACAAGTAGAAATAATTTGACATTTATGTTAGTTTCAGTGGCTTCCGAGAATCCTTTTTTAATATTCTAAAATCGTCTTATGGAGTATTTGCAAATACGATTATAAAGAATATTTCCATAGCGTTTAAATATATCTAACTTAACTTATATAAATCTGAACGAGTTTCATGGAATTCGCAGGGCACGCATTTAAATTTTTTAATGTTTTATAAGCGTGCAAGCTTAATGCAACGTACATCAAGTGTCATTAACCCAATATCTGTTATTTCGATTTCATGGCTTTCAATATTACCTGCATCATTGACTCGCAGATAAATGTCATTTACGTCATCTGGCTGATAAATCTGATATTTCGACATTGTTGTCTCTGAAATTTAACACGATTTGTATCGATTCCGACGCGTCCCAGGATTGTTCGTGTTTAAATCTCCGTTGATACGCCTATACACGCGAAGAAATTGATAATTGGGTCGTAAAATGGACACATTGAGATGACCAATAGGGTTACACAGTTGTAGCCTCGATATACTGTAAATAAATCCCGCTGTGATCCCAGATAATGCCTCTGATTTACGATCTGGTCATGTGCCCTATCGAAATTCTGGGATGCGTAAAACTTTTATAAGGTCTTCGGGAGTCATACGACTTTCATTCTCCCTTACACCAAGAACCGTACTTTACTTTGTTCTGAAATCTTTTTCGACGAGGTCGGGTTTTCAAATCGGCTCTATCCATCAACGTCATACTTCGTCTATGTCTGTTTTATTTCATCTACGCGGGCTTATTTAGGTTTTCCGATGTGTTTTAAGGCTGCCGTGATCAATCTCTCGAGCTTGCGGCAAGCATAATAAAAATGGATATTTATTTCCCGCCCTTTTTATCATATTATGGAAATTCTTGATCTTCGGATCGATCTCTGGTAGAATTTAACTTTGTTTTTCTTCCACCTTGGTGGCAAACCATCCGTAACGTTCATTTATCACGCTATGATTCTTTTATCAGCTTTGAGATACTCACACTATTCGTGTGACAAGAGCAACTAAATGTTCTACTGCAAAAGTGTTCTCGAGAGAGGTACTATTTTTGAAGCAACGACTAACTTTTAAAAATAAAATGTTAAATACGATGGAATTTATCTTTAAGATCACTCTCCTCTAATTATATTTAAATTGTAAAATGTAACACATTGTTAAAGAATTAATTTTTTAAAATACCTGAATTTTATTAACTATTACATCGATAATGATTAATCTTCACACACCAACTGTATTATTAGTTACATAGAATAGTTTTTATCTGTTGTATCCAATAATTATATTAGTTCAGAACAATAGCCTCCAGCATTACTGATTTATAAGTATACAAGTATGTCTATGAATAATACATATTTATTTATATTAAAGAGTTAGTATTATCACATAAAATATATTGAAATAGTATATTTAAAACTTTGCTTCCTCAGAATTAAATGAAAAAGCTGCCAATTCTAAAACAATACTCTCCGGAAGTTCTAATTCATGAATGTACATCTATGAATAATGTATTTCTTCTTATATGTGTATTGAAGCGCTATTGTCATTTCACAAAATAATATTTCAGACTCTGATGTTGCGAGGTGCAAAATCAACTACAACAGTTTTCAATCGCGTCACTTTTAAAACAATAATTTCCGTAATTGCTTATTCACAAGTATAGGTCTATGAATACTGCAATTCTTTTGATATCGAAAGGCTATTGTATAAGATACGTTAGAACGATACTTGAGACGCTGATGTTACCAGGTGTAAGGTTAACTGAAACAGCTCTCAATCATATGTTGCAGGTATTTTCGCAAGTCGACATACTGTTCAGCATCGGTGGGAAATATTACGCCGGAGAGCCGATTACGTACACTTATATGGAAGATAAAATATTTGAGACATCACGAAACATTACCATCAAGCTTCATCATCGGGTTGGTAAATACGTCAAGCTGAGACTCCACTTCTCGGACAGGTGGATCATGATCAGCGAGGTGACCTTTGACTCCGGTGAGTATGCGGGACCGATCGTTTTTATTCAAACTATTGCCGCTCGACAAGAATATATTGGATTCTTTCCCAAAGAAAGGCTGGATACGTGGAACGCGTAATTCTTGTATGATATACTGCACAATCTTTGTCGAACCGTTCCACACGAGAGTCTGCAGTACAGAACGATAAAACGAATGTACACTCCGAATCAAAAGTTTCGGTGAGGGTAGTAAGAACTATACTAAGGTTCTAAAATATACAAATTTACATTTTTGTAGACTATTTTACAAAAGTGGGGATAATAGAAGAATTTCTTTCGCCTGTTATATCGGTGACATAATAAATGAGAAAGGTCTAATGGTGTGAGATGAAAAACAAGATAAATTCTTATGTAGTGCTAATTCACCAAGTTTTCTTTATACGACGACAATCATAATAATAATAAAGAATTTATATCACGATAATATTATTTATAAACTGCAATATTCTTTAGTCATGGAAACAACAAATATTTAACAAATATCGATGCTGATATTTGAACAAGCAACTTCAGGCACCTAGAGTTAATTTACTTATTGGCCAGAACAAATTTTAATGAATTTTATACTTTTATTATTTCTTCTTAAATTTTATATAAGCGTTGAATTAAACAAAAAGTTTTATAGGTAAATTGTAGGTAAGACAAAGTAAGCATTTATTTTAGAAACAAATAATTTGTTTCTCAATGTAAGGTATATATTACTGCATTCCCTTGCTTCTCAAACGTATATAACGAAAAGATACCTGAAACAGGATGAAATCTGAACAAATTTCACAAATTCATAAGAGTTTTCCCGGCAAGACTTTCTGTTCAACTTAATATTTGCGTACACGAAATAGTTGACATACCGTCAGAATGCATTTTATTTTGACCCATACTGTACACCCGTTTCCCAGTGCGTACCGCGAAGTAAGAGGACAAAACCGGTAAAAAATTGGCACGGTAGCATCGGGCCACAGCTGAAACTTAGAACGAAAAATTTCTGCGCGTGACGCAAAATCGTTCCGAGCCAGTGTATATGAGTTTTTGCAATTCCTCGCCTTTTGCATAGGATTTGACATGGCCGGTCTGCGCGCCGATTCCACCGGCGCGCCACCCTCTTTTCTACTTCGGCGTGCCGGGCTCTCCCTCGAACCCATCCTCGCGAACTCGACAGCTCGGCTACCGACTGTCAATCATTGGAAAATAAACCCGAAGGCCCGCTCGTATAAACTGATACACGGTAATTGACAACGGCTTATTATACGTCTGTCACTCGAGCGTTTTCGATTAAGTCGTACAACGTTCGTGACAAAAAGAAACCGTCTCCTCGCGTAGGGCCGAACGCGCAAATCGAAACTAGCCAATCGTTACGTGTTCTATTATCCCTTCTTCCTTTTTATTTTGTTTTTATTCTGCTGTCTTCTTTTTCCTATCCCATCGGCGCTCCATATTTTCTTTCCACGCGGCTGGAGGGAGTTCCGGACTCGATACGAGATAACGCTCTGTTTCAATAGAAATCAACTTGTCCGTATCGCCGACGAAGGGGGGGGTGGGTGAAATAACATCGTGAACGTTAGACAGAGGAAAGCGCTTTATCAACGGTGATATAAAATCACGGAACACGTCGCTGTCCCGAGGAGTGTACTTGATACTCTTCGCTGAATATAAGTTCCGTCCGATTCGAATGGAAATCGTTTCCTTATGCCGAGTTTACCCGTATTTACGGAAGATTTCCTGTACCCGAGTCCCGAATAAAGAGGATTTATAATAGGGCCGATATCAGGACTGCACGATTCATGGAAACAGAGAACGTCTTTGGTTTGAAAACGCGACTGAAGCTTGTGGCTGGTCTGTACTGCGCTCGAATATTTGCTACATTCTGGAACTAATGTTGCAAGGGAAAACGGTGTTCGATAGTTCGACGCAGTTTAAGTTGGCTCATAATTAGATAGAAACTGTATTGGACGCTAAATATCAAACTACATTCAGTATTGTTCAAAAGTTCGTGCTCACTTACACTTGACGAGGAAAAACTTGAGTGTTCTCAAAGTTAGCTCGACTGTTTTTGTTCTGTGTTTTAACACTATAATTTATCTATATGTAATGATGCATACATACATCATTTCATTTTTATAAATGTTATCATATATAAATGTTGTTGTATGAACTAGGTACAATCGATGCAGATATAGTTCTTCGCATTATTGGGTAGTTTAGAAATTTGATATGTATGGTCGTAACAGGTACTGTTACTACTGAAATATTTTCAAAACTCGTAATAAAACATATATTTTTTTAACGTAAACTTTTCATTTGGACGCAATCGAATGTTCTTATAACTGATTTTATGTTTTTTATCTTCTAAAATGCCATAGATTTGAATCATATTTGCTTTTCTTTCAATACTTCAATAAACAATTTAATATTTTACTCGATATTAAATTAAACGGAGCGTATTTATAAATGGTACGTGGTCAAAGAATTATTTAATTCGTGGTTTGATTTTTACTTCGCATTAAATCTTATTAAAGGAAACAAAATGATTGCACATCCACGGTTCATATGATTCGTATAAAATCCGTGTACCCGGAAAACAACGTATTTTCCAAAGAACTTTATTATTTGAAAAATATCGTTACAGTATAGCCGTTCCACTCGTTTCATGCCACTTTATTTTTTCTCGGCCGAATAGACATCGCCGGTTTATTTTTCGACGAATTAGTTGATTCTTCCGAGCGATTAAATCGGCGAACAGTTCCGTTCCGTCGCAGCCACGGAAAGAAAATCCAATTAATTCCAAGATGATGTATAAATCCGGCGAAAAGAATCTGAGGGAAGGAAAAAGGAAAAGATGAGCGCCGAACGAGCTTTGCCAGGTGAAGAGGGCGAACAACAAGAACGAAACTCGCGCTGGAACTCTCTTCGTTTCCAGCTAGCGGGTACAGACCCACCCGGAGGAAGATTCTTTGTTAAGCGTACCGAGGAATTAAACGCGACGGCGCTCGAGTCGCCAAACAATTGAACAGAGAAGTTTGCCCTCCGCGTAAAAACCGTGTCACGAAACTCAACTTTCGAGTTTTATCATTTAACCCGGCAATGCCTTTAAATAAGCATCAAAGATGTCCTTCGAGCGAAAGAATCGATGCAGCTGAGAATAAAAGAAGCGATCATGCGGACAACTCCACCCCAGAACCACAGATACCTCGCGTCTGTATGGAATCGCGCGTGAAACAACCCTAGCGACCTATCAAACGTTGCGATTTCAATTTTTATTTTAAATAAACGGACGATATTACGAATCGAATAGGCGAGCGAACGGTTTAGAGGAAACATCTTAGCATTCTACAAGCCATTCCCGTACAAAGGGTCCTTTGTCAGCGAGATTTGCCGACCTAACAACGGACTCATAAAGTGGGCATGAAACTTTTCCAGTCTGCGCTCCACCATCCACTGTTTTTTCATCTCAAAGGATGTACATGGAAATGTACCCCAGACAATTTCCCCGTCGAGCAAATAGCAGCTGGAAAACGCTGGAACGTTGACGGAAGCGAAATGTATGATCACTGAATCGATGCGTTTGCTACCGACTTCGCTGGATGTGCTTCTACTATTTTCTTTGATATTGCTTGAAACTCTTACAAGGTATAAATAAATTATTTCGTTCTCCAAATCTGCACGGCAAATTTATTTAACGTTAAATATAAATTAGCCAGACGAATATTCGTTTCATTCAATTCTACTGTGGCAAAGTTGACACAGTGTATTCCTATTATATGTTAGAAGTGTATGTCTTCAACGTTCTGTATTTTTCTTTGATTTTATTTCAGACAGTATCCATTTTATTTACTTATGTCAAATGCCTTTTACAATTATATGCTTTGAAGGTTATGTAATACGTTTTAAAAATTATTCAGCTTAATAAAATTATATTACTTAACAAACCACAAAGATTAAAATCATACGTGGAAATTATACAGGGACTAAAATAAAAATAAGTAAATATTACTAATATTTAGTTTAAGACGTAATATAAGTAATGTTATCACATTCGTTCGTTCTCATTCTATATTTACTATAAAATAATGTTCGATGGCTTTTCGACGAAGAGTCGCTACAATTAAAAAATAATATATGTAGTTAATTATTTTTCATTTTCAGAACGTTTACCGGAGTTTTTTACTATTCTTTTCTGTCTGTTTTTATTTCAACAAAGATTAGCATTGTGACGTTTCATATTTGAAATTATTTTGTTGCTAGGGAAGGTGATACTTTGTTTCTTCTAAGAAAAATGAAAGTTAGTTTATTACTGTCTTTTTAACTTCTTCTAATTTTCTAAACTTCTAATTTGAAATTACAACGTTAATAAATATACATTAATAATTGTAATCTTATAATTTGATTTTATTGAATTGAAATGTTATATAAGATTTAAATATTCACTCGTATAAATATCTTCCACTTAAAAAATGCAAGTTTTCGGTTTACAAAATTAATGATCTGAAATTTTTAAACGTTAGTCACTTGTACCAGTTAAATAATGATAAATACAGAATGTTAAATCGAGAAGGAACATTCTGAATACTAACTTTATCGTATATTTGCTAATACTATTTGTGAATACAAACACATTATAAAGAATTCCAACAAAGCCAAGTCAAATAGTCAAATTATTATTAATAGCATAACTCAAAGTCTTCTAATCAAAATGTGACTGCATGCGGGAAACATTATTGTAAAAATGAAAACGTTTTCACAAAGAAATATACAATACTATCTCCGTACTACCCAAAAATTTAGATAACTTTTGCATATTTCACCATTTCAATTCAAAATCGCATCTCTCTGAATTTATCCCCTACCTTGTTGCATGCGACTGTTTCCACATGCTAAAAACATATTGAGATAAATGAAAATAGTGTTCGTATTTAAACTATATTTTCCAGCCAAATAATGCTGAACAATTCACCTGGCAGTTAATAAAGTGCACCGGCTCCGG